TTGGGCACTGATTCCTCCTCCTCCCCCCTGCATCCCGATGCACCTGTCTGTCTCTCCCCATGCCTGGGAACCGGGTGTTCTCCACCCTCCTCACCCGACGCCCTGGCAGCTCTGGGCTAGGGAGGCAGGGAAGCCATGGCCGTGGGAAGACGTGCCGGCCCCTGCTTCTCATACCCTAGGACGAGTCTGTACAGGTGCCATGGGGGAGGGAGGCAGCACCGGTTTGGGAGCTGGGAGTCGGGGTGGGGGCCCAGCCTGCTGCTGTGAGGCCCCCCAGGGGCTGAGAGTCCCCGTCTCCAGCACTGACTGACGGAAACCCTGTTCCTTCTCCAGAGTCCCTGCTGGGGGAGTGGGGGCTCAGTGGGGTTGTGTGTGTGGGGGGGGGAGCAGGCCAATGGGAAGCAATGGCAATTCGGGGGCTATGAATGGGGAGGTGAGGACTGTTTTTTTGCGGGGGGCCAGTGCAGCGCTGTGGGTGGCTGGGCCGTGAGAGATGGGTGGGGCTGGGTGAGTGGGAGCCCCCCAGCTGCTGCTCAGCCCCTTCTCCTTGCAGAGAACGTGCCGGAGGAGCTGCGCGACCCCTTCTACACAGACCAGTACGAGCAGGAGCACATCAAGCCGCCTGTGACGCGCCTGCTGCTCTCCTCGGACATCTACTGCCGGGTGTGCCGCCAGGTGCTGCCCCCCGACGATGCGGCTGCACCCGCCCCCAAGGACAACACTGCCCTGCTGGCGCTGCTAGGGCGCCGGGGCCTGGCCCCCACCTACCAGGACAAGCCCGTCAAGGAGGCCGACCTGCTCCAGAAGCCCATCAAGATGGTAAGGGCCAGGAGTGGGGGTGGCCACCTTCCCGTGGCTGCTATAGGGGTGCATGTGCCAGGGCAACCATGGGGGGGCTTCCCGACCGCCCCTTGCCCGTGGGTGGCTCTGTGAGTGCTGATAAGTCCTTTTCAGGGGCCTTTCTCTGCAGCCTGGGGAGAGCGAGCCTGGGCTAGGGATGCCTGATGGTACCAGGTGCCTGCACAGCGAGGGAGTCCGTGGGTGCCTGGAGGGGCCTTGGCTGGCCGCGGGCAGGAGGGCGGCTGGGGATGCTCCTGGCTGGGCATTGGAAGGTGGCTGGGGCAGGTGCTGCCGGGGCAGGGGGTGGAAGGGCGAGTGCCCCGTGCTGGGGAGGGAGCAGGCATCCCGGACTGGGCAGGCCTGCCCCTGCCCATCCTGCCTCCCTCTGGGACATGCGCTGGCATGGGGCAGGGCCTTTACAGGTTGGGAGCTCAGTTGGCACCTGAGGGTGGGGCACGGCCCCAGGACTGAGTGCTACCCCCATGTGCATGCTGCGGGGGGGCCCTCCCCTCTTCAGGATGGGCCAATAGCGGGTGTCCTGGTGCGAAAGGCAGGGGAGGGGGGTTAGCTGCAGCCTTGGGGTGGGTGAGGTGGGGGGCAGCTGTGAGCACAGGGATCCTGGCTGGGGCCTGAGGTGACGCTAACTGGGAGCTCTGGGAAGTCGGGCAGGCTCTGCCGGGAGCAGCTGCTGTCTGGGCTGGTTAAGTCGGGGGGAGGGGGGGGTTTGCCAGCCTGCTTAAGCCCAGGGGTGACTGGGCGTCGCTGCTGCAGCCTGGAGATTACAGCCCTGCCCGTGTGGGGCGGTTGGGGGCCAGCGCTGCCTGCAGGTGCCTGATGGATCGGCTGCTGGGCTGGGGCTGGAGGGAGGCCGGGGCGTGCTATATAGAGAGCCAGGCTGGTTCAGAGCCCGGGGGAATCCATGCAGGGCACGGCCCGCTTCTCTGGCCACACGCAGCTCCAGGGGGGTCCCAGCCAGGCGGTGCAGGGCGGCCGGAGACCAGCAGTATCGGGGGGGGGGGCGCCTTGGGCACCTATAGAAGAAGCCCTGCATATCAGGGCTGCCCTGATCAATGGGGACACCCGGTCACTGCACCCCACGTGCCCCCCCGGCACGTCGTCGGGCTGCCCTGGGAGGCTGTGGGTGACGCTCAGCGGCAGCGCCGAGTTCTGACCCCACCCGCTGCCCGACACGGGGACGGATGCTCCAAACCTGCTGTGGGGGTGGGCGCCGCTGGGGGCTGGGCTCTGGGGCCGCTGGGCCCTCTTTGGCTTGGAGCCGATAATGGGGATTAGTCGCTCCACCGAGCTGGAAGGGGGGGTCCAGCTGTCTTGCTGCCAAGGGGAGCAGCATGGGGTCGATAGCCAGGCTGGCTGGGGAGGGAGGAGCCCGGCTGGGAGGTGGGGGATGGGCTGGAGGAGCCTTCTCAGTCCTGAGCCCGCTGGGGAAGGCCCTGGCCAGGGCTCCCTGGCCCTTGGGGCTGGGCTTCCTTGCTAGGGATGTGGGACCTGCAGCCTCCTTCCCCCAACACCAGCTCCAAGGGGCACAAATCTGCTGCGAGTCTCCCAGTCCTGCCTGGCTGAGGCTCTGGGCTGCAGGAGGGAGCATGGATTCCCCCAGCGCCCTGCCCCCGGTGCCCCCCATGCCCAGTCAGAGCCGTGCCATGCCCCTGCTGCCATGGCTCTGTAATGCCCATCCCTAAATCCCACAGGGCTGGGGCGGGGGACAGGCTGCCCAGTGAGACCGCCCTGGTCTGTCCCCCCCCTTCTCCCCAGCGTGGCCCAGGCTCGAGGGGGCGTTGGCCTTGTGGGAGCTGGTCAGAGTCCTAGCCCAGGCCCTTCCTCTTCTCCGTGCTGGCCTGTCCCTCGTGGCTAATGCTGGCCAGTAACTGGCCCCTTGCTGGACAGGGGCTATTCCCGTCTTGCGGTTTTATGACCCTTGTGAGCTGCCACTGCTCACAGCAAGCATCTGGCTCCCTCTCTGACCCTCTGAGATCCTGTGGCAGGCAGTTCCGCAGGCTAACTGGGCCAAGCTCTATTCCCCAGCTGGGGTTTCCTCCCGTCAGCCCCACACCTGGGGGAAGGATGAGCACGTGTCTTCCCTGTCCCACTGCTCAGACTTCTCCCCTTAGGCCCGCGAACGCTGGGAGCCAGGTCAGTGGGTGTTTGCTGCTCTGCTGAAACACCGGCTTGCACAAAACAAAACATCTGGCTTGGCGAGTGCTCCTCGTGCCCTCCCCCCGACGCCCACGGTTCTGCCCTTGGCAGCGCCTTAGAGGCGACAGGCATAACGCCAGGCCTGGCTAATGGGCTTCTTCCCCTTGCTGGGGTTTCTGGGTAGGCTCTGTCTGACCCAGTTGCTCTCCAGCTGAGCTGAGCTGCCCGCTGTGTCTGGGGGCCACGCCGTCCGCCACGAGGGGAACCGGGGAGCTGGGGACTCTGGGCTTGGTGTGGGCCCTACCCTCGGGCCTCTCTAGCAGCTGGTGGGGGATGGGCTCATGTTAATGATTGGCAAGCGGCTGTGTTAGGCAACAGCCGGATGGGCTGTGGGAGAGCTGGGTGCTCCGGTGCCAGGGTCGGAGCTGCGCTAATCGGGTTAAGCATTAGCCACGCTGGGATGCCCGGGGATCCGTCCAGGGATAATTGGCTTGTGGGAGGATCCTATTACCCCTGTCCGGCTGGGACGCTGTTCTGGGGCGCGTGGGCTCCTCTGCCTGAGGTCTGTGGCAGTGGTGTGAACCCTGGGGCCCGGCACCTCCTCCCCCATAGGCCCAGTTGGCTAATCCAACTGCCCTGAGGTGCTGAGGGTTGGCCGGCCTGGCTGGGGCAGCACAGCCCCCCTGCCCTCAGCTCCACCCGCTGTGGGCTCTGCTTTCAGCATCCGCTCCTGAGACCATGGCCTCAGGTCCCCTGTGCTCCAGCGAGAGTGCAGGGGAGGCAGGGCGTGGTCAGTCCCCAGCCTTGACTCTCCTGCTCTGATCACAGGACCCCTCAGGGCTGGGACTGGAACCCAGGACATCCTGGTGCCAGTCTCCTGCTGTAACCTCTAGGCCCTGCTCCCTCAGAGCTGCCATTGTCCTACCCTGCTTGTTGCAGGCTGCTGTGGCATGGGCTCCATGCAGGCCCTGCCCTGGCAGCGATGTCCATGTCTAGGCTGGCCCTGGCAGCACCCCCCTCCCCCGGGGGCTCTAGTAGCTGCATAGGCCCAGTTGCTGGGGGCCATTAAACCTCTCGCTTTCCTGTCCTGAGCATGCCTGACCCTTGGCACCGAGTTGTCAGAGGCTCCAGCTTCTCTGCAGGCACCTTGAGGTGGTGGGTATCCGTGGGGGCTCCCGGCCCTGGCTCTTGAGCACTTCTGCTGTTTGCTCCCCCTCGTGTCAGGGCCCGTCCTGCCCTCTGACTGTAGGGTGAGCTGTGAGAACTGCCCTTGCTGTGGAGAGTGGATGCCTGGTACAGGCACATTCAAACCCTGCTACAGGATTCGCTGGCCACATTGAGCCTGGGACATGCTGGTGTTGGGGCCAAGGGCTGCTTGTGGGGTTGGGGATCCCCCCCATAGATGCCCCTGGTGAGTGTAAAGTGGGGGGGGTGGCAGTTGGATGGGGGGGTCTCTGGGCTGGGCCAGGCCATGGAGCTTAGGCGGTGAGGCCGTGAAGGGCAGGTGCTAGGCTGCACCTAGTGGGGAGAAGAGACCCCCCCAGGCCAAGGCACAGGGAGGGCAGGAGTGTGAGTACAGTGTCGTCTGGTCCCTTCTCCCTGCAGGGTGCGCACCTGGCAGTGATCGACTCCCTGATGATGGCCTTTGCTGTGGAAGCCACCCACACGCTGAGCGCCCCCCCTGGCACCAGCCTGGGTGACAGCTCCTGGGAGCAGAAGCTCCTCTTCTGGGTGGACATGGTATGATGGGGGCCCTTGGGGCTGTTAGGGGAACTGTGTGTGTGTGGTGGGGGGGGGTCCTTGGCCCCTAATGCCCCCTAGCTGTATGGATGGTGGGGGCACCAGGGCACTGGTCTCAGTGGGTGTCCTCGTCTCGCTCCTGCTGCCCTAGAGACTTCAGACTCTGCCCCCCAGACTCCTGCTGAGCTGCCCTCTTCCATCAGCATTGGGGCAGGGGCTGTCTCCAGGCTTGGGGCCTCTCCCTGCCCCCAGTACCGACTAAACCTCCCTCCCTCCCACAGGTGAACCGCAAGCTGCAGGAGAGCACTGAGCGGGAGGGCTCGCAGCAGCCAG